CAGGAAAGGTGAGACGCATGCACCTAATAATGAATTCCAGCTTTTGTTTATGCTAAAATAGTGATTTTTTTTTCTTATGTTGCTTGCTTTTTTGTTTACAGTAAAACCAATACAATCTGCAAAAAGTGTGCCCAGAATGTCAAACAGTTTGGAACAGTGAGTAACTGTTTTTCCCAGATCACTTTAACTCCACTTGAATGTACTGATTCAAATGTTCATTTGTTTAAAGTAACGCTATGTGTAAATGTGCCCTTTAACTTTTAACATTGTCTTTTATCTGCCTTTATAGCCAAAACCCTGCCAGTACTGTAATATCATTGCAGCATTTATTGGCACAAAATGCCAGCGTTGCACTAACTCAGAAAAGAAATATGGACCTCCACAAACCTGTGAGCAGTGCAAACAGCAGTGCGCCTTTGACCGCAAGGAGGAAGGCAGGAGAAAGGTATAAACCTAATACACAGGAAGTCTAATTATGCAGAGAATATCTTAACAGTCAGTCTTATGTGCTACTGTCTCCTACCTGTCTTCTAGGTGGACGGGAAACTGCTGTGCTGGCTCTGTACTCTGTCCTACCGCCGTGTCCTGCAGAAGACCAAGGAGCAGAGGAAGGGCTTCAGCTCTTCCAACTCCTCATCCCTAAACGAGAAAGACCACCACTCCAGATCGCACCATCATCACCACCACCACCAACACAGGCACAGCAGTTCTCACCACAAGTATGTTCTTTGTTGATTTTTTTTGTTTGTTTGTTTGTTTTGCATATAGTAACAAAGCTTTATTATATGTCCCCACCGCATGTTGTTATTTGCTAAGTTTATGCATCTTTCGCAGACTGAGTGGGAGCTTGAGTCCTGAGCAGGAGCAGGGACTGTGGAAGCAGAGGTAAAGCATCCTGTCTTATTTGACTTGTGTAATGTACCTGAGAAAACGGAATATTGATGGAGTTTCTTGGCCCAGAATGTACATTGACATCTGATTTTCTTTGCAGCCATAAATCGTCTTCAATCCAAAAGGAGACTCCAAAGAAGAAACCAAAACTTGAGACAAAGCCATCCAATGGGGACAGGTATGATAGGTGTGGTTATTGTTTGATAAAACAGTAAGTCTGACTTGACATAATTGTTGGTTGGGCATAATGCTGCCTATGTTTTTCTTCTACATGTTGACTACCTGCATGAATATTGGCCTCATGCTCTTTCCTTTCTCTCATCAGTAGTTCCATCACCCAGTCAATGGACTCTGGAGGAACGGACAACTTCATTCTCATCAGCCAGCTAAAAGAGGAAGTGATGTCACTGAAGAGACTTCTGCAGCAAAGGGATCAGACGATCCTGGAGAAGGACCGAAAGGTATGTTATGAGTCTCACCTGGCCTCCAGCATAGTCTTTGATAACACTCAAAGCTGCTTTTCAGTTTGTTACTTTTATTTGTTTGGAATATTGATTATAAAACTCTCCTCTAGCTCACAGAGCTCAAAGCAGACTTTCAGTATCAGGAATCCAATATGAGAGTGAAAATGAACCAAATGGAGAAAGCGCACAAAGAAGCTATGGAGCATCAGCAGGTAGGAAATTACATATAAACATGGTAGGGGGTGTTGTAATATAATCATTACTAAAATACAACTTTCATTTTAGTCCTGTCCACAACCCCACCAGTTAAAATTTCAATCCAGTCTAAAATACCATACCTTTCTGTTTCAAGTACAACTTGCATTGCAACCTTATTATTGTTTGAATAACCACACACTATTGGGATTCAGAAGTAACTTTTCATGCAGAGCCCTTAAGAAAGAAGAGTTACCACAGCAAGGGATCGAAAAGGGTACCGGGTCATGTGACTCACAGCTTCAAATAGTTCCAAGTGGGCCATTAACAACAGGATATAACAGCAAATTACTACTTTTAATGACTTGAAAAGCCTTGCAAACCAATTCTGTTCAGTTATGGTCGATAGCTCAGTTAATTTAGCTAGCTGGCTGGGTGCCTAATTATTAAAGTGACCCAATATTTGAGGGAGATGGTCAAAAAGGTTGTTGAACATATAAAAATGTTTTGACACATTGCAAATGTAAAATGTCACCAGTATAATTGTTGCTATTAATTTTAACCTATTACTATAGAAGATAGAAGCCAATTCAGTATAAAGGCATTCACATTATAGTGGAAAAATTAGGGTCTTGCACTGCACATTCCGCACTGGTTGGCGTGGACACTCCTGAGGGGGCGCTGGTCAAAGAACTGCTTTCTTAGCTACAATGCTAATGTTGCTAGCAATAGATGAAAACCTTTTAGAGGCTCAAGCTGTATTTCTTTTTTTTTTTTTACAACCTGGGTAGCAGCTCTTGTGTGCTAAATAAGTTGTCTGTCCTTTATCTGATTTCAATATGAGAATCATTGTACATTCTGGGAAATTGAGAGGCACAAGTAGGCTAGTTTCATGTTGGTTCAGGCAGTGGTCAACAATGATTGGCTGAGTGGACTAAGTTTAGTGCAGTTGAGGTCAGAGTTCAACACATTTGAACTATTGGCACACTCCTGTTTTGCCTTGTACATCATGAACATTCTTGCAGAGATTGCCCAGTGCACTGCATACACAACAAAAAGCGGGGCACATGCAAAATTCGTTTTTGTATTCCACAACAATGTGAACACGCCATAACTCTATAGTGCTCCTCCTAATGTTTGGAACTATTTCATGTCCCCATGAGCCATCATTACTGGAAGAAATAGATTCTTATAGAAGCAATGGAGATGTCATGTTAATCCACTCTCCTCCCATACGCCTGACAGAACAGTGCAGAGTATCAGAAAGCCCGTTCTCTATCATTTTGGCAAGTAGTCTGTTATCAGTAATGGTGTCAGAAACCAGTAACATCACAACTGTCTTCTCAGGTTTATCATTATGAGTGAGTAATTGCTGAAAAATGTCAAAAGGATTTGGAACTATATCATGATTGTACCCTACATATGGGCCATTGTCATACATGGATGATTGACTTGTTGCATAGGTTTTCACTCTGCTGTTGCTGTAGAATGCAGTGGGTGCATCAGTTGAGTCATTTCCTGTTCAACTCTGCAGAGTTAACTTTGTAAACTAATCCAAATAACCTTGCAGTGTCTAATAAATGATGAGTAAGCACTGACAACAATTCTTTCAAACTGTGTTTTTCTAGAACTAACTAGTTTGTTTTTGTTGCAAATTAAAACACAATCAAGATCTCAGGTAAATAACAACATACATTGTGATCTAGTACTAAGGTACTAAAAATTCTAACTATGCATCTCCTTTCTAACTTGGTTAAGCATTTGTGTCCGCAGGCCAAGAACAGGGAGTTGATGAAACAAGTGGCTGCCCTCTCAAAAGGAAAAAAGTTTGACCGTACAGGAAGTTCACTGCTGTTGCCCTAACAATAGGCCAACCAGCAGGTGACAACACAGAGCGGCTTCATTGTTATAACACTGTGAAGGCCCCCCTCCTGTGTTTCCTCATTGCCATCAACATTGATTACTTAACTGGTAAAGCCAGACACCATGTTGTACATGGAAATCAACTGTTGAGTCGAAGAAACCTTTTCTCTAAATGTCAACAAATTTTAGATATTTTATGGCAACTTTTCCACTGGATCATGGGATGCGTCTTTGGATGGAGTGGAGGATGGAGCCCTCACTTCTAACACTGCCGGGCCAAAACAAAAAGCATGGTGTGCATATGTGGATAGCATCCTGTCGACTCAATGTATCCACTTGAATTTTATGGATGTCATGCATTTTATTTATTCAGCTGTATTTCTTAGCTTTTCTTTATTTCCTCACAACATACAGTACTAATATCCCACATTTTGGGGTTTTCTTCAATAGCATTTAGTTTTATTTTTATAAATGGATGCGATTGTGGAAGATGAGTTCTCCTCAATGGAGAACCTGTGCAACTTTACATTGTATGCAAACGTGGGAAGGGTGACCACTGAGCTGCTGCTCAATAGTTGAACTTTGAGTTACAATTCATTCAGCAACCAATGAACACTTTGAAAAGCTGTGTAACAGAGAAACACCTGGTGCCCTCTTTCTCACTGTGTGACAGCTGTAGTGCTTTGCTGTTTCTCTTCAGTGGAAGAACTGTAATGATGCATGACTCTACTGCCAGACACAGGATGGCATTGTGGTCAGACTTTCCCCCCAATTTTAAATAGTTTTTTAAGAATTACTTGTAAATGTATTACTGGGGTCCGCCATTATATTTAAGCTATTGCTTGTATCTGTTTTAGTGAGTACAGTATGTGTATGGTAAGGCCAGTTAAAATAAACATCTGTAGAAGATGCTTTTTAAAGGAACACACCTTTCACCTTGCATTACTGGGCTGGTTTCATACTGTGGTGTTCAGGATCACTTTTGTACTTTTTTCCAAACCAAGTGTTTTAAAATGATTAAAACTGGCTAAACTGTTATAGTATGTTTGTTTTTTTTTTATTGACTGCATAGCTGTTTACCTTTTAAACATTAAATATCTAAGATTTCTAATGTATACAACACTTAATATCTGGTGCTCACAATTTGAAATCTACACTCCACAACAATAAAAGTACAGTCTTTGGGAATAACTGGTTTTGCTGAGTACTGTATAAAATTCCATGTGACATATTATCCTGAATTAAATATTGTGTAGAAACATTGCAAAAGCCTTTAGCCTGATATGGCCCTGACAAAAAAATAGGAGGTGGCAAAAGTCCAGCAAAAGAAACCATATGTATGTAATTATTCAGTTGACATGGAACATAAACTCTTAGTCAGTTAAGAATAACAGCATCACACAGTATCAAAGATATTAGGGTATAAACTATTTAGGGGATAATTAGTTGCAGAAATTAAGGACAAATGCAGCAAAGTTGATATTACCGCAGAAGCACAGCTGCACTCGGTAATGAAAGTCAAATGATAACCATTGGATATTGACATTTCTGTTTTACGTGAAGTTCGTCAACGCATCACGCTGTCCATCCAGGTCACGTGGACTTTGTGCTAGCTGATTAGCTCTACCTCAGCTAGATGTTGTTTGCAATGTAGTGTATGATACGCATATGTAAACAAGAATTTACACCGAGCTTGGCTGCGTAACTCTGTATTAAATGTATTATTGCTGGGTTCCTTTTGATCTATCAAAGCTGACGCAGGCACAGTTGGAAAATATGTTTACACAGACTTTGGCGTTAGCGTAGTTATTTTGTCTAGCTAACATAAGCTAACGCTAACTTACTTTGCCAGACCGGATCGTAACGTTAGCGGGTTAACACCAATCTGCCTGGACGTAATAGTCACTATACATTTATATAAAGCTAGCTAAAATCCAGGCTTGCTAAGGGTGAGGAGAAATCACGCAAAGTAAGTGTATGTTGCTTTCATGAAGGTTCTGATACTTAACTAGTTGTTTTTTCCGTATAGCTAGCAAGATAGCTAACATTTGCCATTCTTTTCATTGCAGCGCATTGACGTTATCTGGTTTGTCCATTACAAAGCGTCAGGTCAACATTGGCAGTTAAACTTCTTGTTTATCTAATACATTTTAATAATTGAGAAAAATGAAATTAAGTCCACCAAAACCTCAACAGACTAACTTTGGAAAACGCAACTAGCTAGCTAGTTAATGTTAGAACGTCAGCTAACTACTTGCCAGATCTTGTCTTATAGGTGTATATGTGTATATGTTTATTTGTTTTTCCTCTCGTTGATGGAGTTTTCTTGAAATATACACGGTATACATAAGTGATTGTCATTGTAATGTAATTTTTATGAAGATATATTTAAATCCTTTGATACATGGCAAAATAACTTTGATATTCAATAGTATGATGAGAAATTCAGTATAGTGGCATCACTCATGCATGGTCATTCATGGATCACATTAGTGAGAACTAATGCTGCAAGTTACTTAGACAAAGAAAATAAACCAAATGCCTAAATTGTAAATGTCATGTTTCATAACATTTCAGGATGTCTGACTCAGACAGTGATGAAGACCAAGACCGCCCTTTCTCTCTGACTGGCTTCCTTTTTGGAAACATCAATGAAGATGGACAGCTAGAGGATGATAGTGTTCTGGACAGTGTGGGTGTTTAAAGATAATTTTCTGGAGCGGCATTAAGTCATTTCTAAGTAGCAAAGAATTTAAGCTAAGATTTTTTTTTTATTTCTGTGGGAGACTGTAGACACTACTATTTCACTTCTTATTGCAATGTTCTGTTACTGCCTTTTATCTTCACCTCAGGAGTCCAAAAAGCATCTAGCAGGTTTGGGTACACTGGGTCTGGGCACGCTCATTACAGAAATCACTGCCAATGAGGAGGAGGATCAAGAGCAGAACCGAGACTCTGGTAGCGTGGATGCAGAGGGTGAGGGTAAATATATAATTGGAACTTTGTTTTAATGCATTCAGAAACAGGAGGGAGTGACATTTTGAATATATTTCCTCATTCAGGCTGGGTGAAAAGCACTGATGATGCAGTTGATTATTCTGACATTAGTGAAGTTGCTGAGGATGAGACAAAGAAGTACCGTCAGGCGATGGGGTCTTTGCAGCCCAGCAGGAAAACAGGTGATCATCTTCCCTAGCATCAAATGTGCTGTTTTGAGTGTTGTTAATCATTTTTAGGATGTGTACAATTGATTTGATCTTTAACGATAAAGTTTTATATACATGTATAAACCCTTTTGAAAATATTTTTAAATTGTACTGTATAGATTTTTTTAAATGTCAGTAAGACATTTCATTTGTCCTTCCCAAGATTTCCATGATTTCAAAATGCTGTTGGACCTTCTCTTGCTCTTTTATGTTAATATTAAATATATTTTGTTTCTAATTCCTTAATCCTAGATGATGAGGATGACTATGATGCAGACTGTGAGGATATTGATTCTAAGCTCATGCCTCCTCCTCCTCCACCACCAAGTCTTTCTACGTCTGCTAAGAAAGATGAACCTTCCTCTCAGAGCACAAATGGTAATTACATGTTTATAATTAGTCTCTGTAGAGAAACTGTGTTTGGTTTGTCCTCTTCCATAGAGGTTTGAGCTGTCTACAGAGCTGCAACTCTGGAGTCTATAAGGAAGTGAGTTGTCTATGGATATTTAATCAGAGTGGATGTTATTGTCAGAGGTTTATTTTTCCTATGACACAGACAGATGTTACAGTTAATCATGCAGTAAATTCAGAAGCAGTTCAGTCTAGATTTAAATATTTTAGGTTACAAATATCTAATGGTGACAACTGATTGTCTCTTCTGCTGCTTTGATCTGCCACTGTCTCTCCTTGCAGCTGGGGAAGAGGGTGATGGCATAATCTTGCCCTCCATCATTGCACCTTCCTCTACAGGTGATAAGGTTGACTTCAGCAGCTCCTCAGACTCTGAGTCAGAAACTGACCGTCCCTGCCTAAGCTCAGTGGCTGGAGGTCCCCCAGACAGGCTCAACCTCCCTCTCGCTGGCATCATGCAGAAAGATGCTGCCAAAGCACTGCCAAGTGTTACAGAACTTTTTCCAGAGTTTAGGCCTGGAAAGGTAAAACATCTTTACATGCAGTGCACTGAGCTTAAATATTACATGCCATTATGCATGCTAAAGGTTTATTTTATCATCATTTTAAAATCAGGGAGTGCACTGAGACCCATTGTCTTATCCAACCAGGTGCTTCGGTTCTTACGACTGTTTGGTCCTGGAAAGAACATGCCATCAGTTTGGAGGAGTGCCCGCAGGAAGAAAAAGCGGAAACACCGGGACCCACAGCCTGGGACGCCCTCTCCAGAAGGAGAGCCCACTGAGCCAAGCCAGGAAAAAAAGTCTGGATGGGTTTATGAGTCTGCTCCCCCTCCACCCCCAGAGCAGTGTCTTTCTGATGATGAGGTAAGTCTTCTAGTGTTACATACTGTTTTAGGCTCTCATAATATCAGTTGACAGCAGTCTGGCAGTATATCATCAGATCCAGCTTGTTACATGCTTTTCTACTGGATTCAGATAACCATGATGGCTCCAGTAGAATCAAAGTTCTCCCAAACCTGTGGTGATGGGGACAAGGAGGCAGAGTCTCGACCTAAAGTTGCGGAATGGAGATATGGTCCAGCCCAGCTCTGGTATGACATGCTAGGGGTCCCGGAGGACGGAAGCCATTTCAGCTATGGGTTCAAGCTAAAAGAGGAGCAGTCCAGTGAGCCTCAGATGCAGGACACGCCTAAAGAAATGCCAGATACTGCTCAAGTGGTATGCAGACAGGTAACATCTGTAGTCATAACTGCGAAATTTATGATTGTGTTACTGATGTTTATAATTTGTCTCATTTCAGAGGCAGGACAACAACGATGATGATGATGATGATGATAATGATGTAGATGAAGACAAAGCAACCCTTGAGAATGAGCTCTTCTTGATGGTCACTCAACTGCAATGGGAGGACGATATTATCTGGAATGGGGAGGATGTAAAACACAAAGGCACAAAGACGCAGCGAGCTAGCCTGGCAGGATGGCTGCCCTCTAGCATGACCCGTAATGCCAATGCTTATAATGCACAGCAGGGTAAGAAGCCAGAAAAAAATGAAGAATTAATTCTTGCAATGGGTGGTTTTCTGTCATTAAAAACATCCTACTATACCCTGATGGTTTTTACAAATTTTGAAAGACAGTGTAGTGGCAAGACACAGAAGCAACAAATGCCTAACAGCTTGCTAAAATTGTTGGACAACAAATACTGATGGTGAAGCAGCATATTGTAATTTTTCGTGTGTAAAATAGAAAATAGTCTGTTTAATCTTTCAGGCCTGACGAGAAGTAATTCTCAGTTGGTGCCACCTACGCCTCCACCCATGCCCAAAGTTTCTTCAATCACTGGCTCCAAGCGGGAAAAAAACTGCCATGATAATCAAGGTGAGTTTAGTGACCGTCACAATGCAAATAATAGTGAATCCAGACCCTTCTATCTCAGGCCAAATGTTTTGCCTTAATTTGTTTTATTTCTGTGCAGTCTCTCAGGAAGAAGACTGCCCCTGGTTCTCCATCTTTCCCATTGACAATGAAGAGTTGGTGTATGGACGGTGGGAAGACAACATCATCTGGGATGACCAGGAGATGGATCACATGCTCATGCCACCTGTTCTTACACTGGATCCCAATGATGAGAATATCATTCTAGGTAGTGTGTACTTCAGCTTTTTCAGATTTAACTGTGTTTTTTTTCTTCCTTCAGTTTTTTTTCTTACCTGTTGTCTTTTGCAGAAATTCCTGACGAAAAGGAGGAAACAACATCCCACTCTCCATCAAAAGAGAATAAGAAGGAAACTGCAATCAAAAAGAGCCGCATCCTGCTTGGGAAGACCGGGGTAATAAAAGATGAGCCACAGCAGGTATGCTACTTCATCAGCGCAGGTGAAGGCACATTTGATTATGAGAAATAGCAGACTAGAATTTCTGAGGGTCCTTTAAAGCACAAAATGTAAAAAAATAAAAAAATGCAGTAAGGAAGATGGCTACCGTGCATAATGAGGGAATAGCTATGGTGAAATGAAATTGACAATGCCTCCACCAGAGGCTACAACATTCTTGTTTAAGCCCCAGTGTGTGTGAGTAATAACTGTAAACCTTTGGGCTGAGAATGGTATTTTAAAAATTCAGTTCGATAATACAAAAGGTTCCAGTGACACTCAGTGGGAAGTTTTTTTTTTCTCTCAACTTAGAACATGTCCCAGCCTGAAGTGAAGGACCCCTGGAACCTCTCCAATGATGAGTTCTACTATCCCAAACAGCAGGGCTTGAGGGGGACATTCGGTGGAAACATCATTCAGGTAAGCAGCAGCTCACAAAAACAAAGAAAGCAACAGGCCGGGGAATATATAAACATTGTGACAGAATTCTTATACATCATATAAACACAGAGCCATAACCAGATGAAGTGTAGGCTGTTGAATAATGTGATGGAGTAAATTTTCTGTCTTTAACAGCACTCCATCCCGGCACTGGAGCTGAGGCAGCCCTTCTTCCCCACACACATGGGACCAATGAAGCTCCGGCAGTTCCATCGACCAAATCTGAAGAAGTACTCATTTGGAGCTCTGGCTCAACCGGGCCCCCATGCAGTCCAGCCACTGCTCAAACACATAAAGAAGAAGGCCAAGGTGGAGCCCTGCTTAAAACAATCATCACTACTTTGTGAATAGATCATCTTGTAGTTTGTCTGTTCTTTAGTCATTTTTGCGTTAATGTCAGAGGTGTACATGGTAATATTTTTTCATATAGATGCGAGAGCAGGAGAGACAGGCATCTGGAGGAGGAGACATGTTCTTCATGCGGACCTCACAGGACTTGACAGGCAAAGATGGAGATCTGATCTTGGCAGAATACAGTGAAGAATACGCTCCTCTCATTATGCAAGTCGGCATGGCCACCAAAATCAAAAACTACTACAAAAGGGTGAGTCTAGACTTCTTCTACTCATATCTTGTCTTAATTAGTATTTTCTATTAAACGCCCTGAATATCTATATGCTTTTATTAGCCAATAAGTGCAGACCTGTGTACAAATAGGTGGACCATTGTGCTTGTCACATTTCACTGTGCAGAACTGTGGTCATTTTAGATCATCAAATTCTACTTCTACTCATCATTTGTTTGTTGGACAGAGTTGTTAAAATATTCAGTGGCATTTTTACTGTATTCTTCAGAAACCTGGAAAGGACCCTGGAGCACCTGACTGTAAATATGGAGAGACTGTGTACTGCCACACATCCCCTTTCCTAGGTTCACTGCATCCTGGGCAGCTGCTCCAGGTCAGCAGCATCATAGTCAGAGATTCAGTATCTCAGTTAGGTAAACATTTGAAGCATTGCTGGTCTGTTTCCCGGCAAAATGTATGATGGTATGTCCTTTTCTGTTAGGCGTTTGAAAACAACCTTTTCCGTGCTCCAATCTACCTGCACAAGATGCCAGAGACTGATTTTTTGGTTCTACGGACACGACATGGCTACTACATCAGAGAAATTGTGGACATTTTTGTAGTTGGTCAGGAGTGCCCCTTGTTTGAGGTTCCTGGGCCCAATTCTAAGCGAGCCAATACCCACATCAGAGACTTCCTTCAGGTATGTCTGTTTGCATGGGAAATCCTACAAACTTGAGCTGCTGATGTCACAGATGCTGAAATGTCACATCTGTATTTTGTAGGTGTTCATTTACCGCTTGTTCTGGAAGAGCAAGGACCGGCCCCGGAGAATCCGCATGGAGGATATAAAGAAAGCTTTTCCCTCACATTCAGAGAGCAGCATCAGGAAACGACTAAAACTCTGCGCTGACTTCAAACGTACAGGTATACCTCAGCCATTCATTAACTCTGCACCCTGTATGTTCCCCGTTCAGGTAATCAACATTATTTGTTGGACTAACCCCGTGGTTCTCAAAGTGTGGGTTGCGCCCCACTAGTGGGTAATAAAGACATGACAGGTGGGGGACAATGAACAGAGAAAATTAGAAATGGGTCATTAATACAAGTAAATTAAAATAACATCAGTTCAGGACCCGGGGGAAAAAAGTGGAACCATAGTGCAACAATAACGGTTTAACGTCGGCATGTTAACTGCTGCGCAACATTATAAGGTAACGTTCACACGGAGGGTTGATAGTGTACGTAGTGGGCATAATAATATAAATGGATAAATGTGTTACATGGACCACAAATAAAAGCAGGTGATTTAGCGCAAGCAGATAAAGAAACAGGCAGTAGCCTTATCAACCAAAAAGCCAGCCGAAAAGAAAATATGATGAAGCCCATCTTGCGCTTGGATTCACGGTGGGAATGGTGGGGGCAGAGGAGGGACCCATGTGTGTCTTGTGTCTTAAACCGCTGGCAGCAGACAGCATGAGACCCAACAAATTAAGAGACAACACACCCCAGTCAATTGCTGAGCAGCGAAATCTCCCTGTAACTGTAGACATGGTGTCGATTATGCTGGGTGACACAAGTGCTGCAAAATTGAAAACTTTCCCTCTCAAATGATACAGTTGTACTTATATTTTATCTGTTTTGAACTTGGTGTGATTTGATATTTCAATCAATTTGATGTTGTAAAATTGGGCCATTTCGTTATCATTTTTATGACAAGTGGGGCTTGAAAATTTGCTCACCCTCTTAAGTGGGGAATGACAAAAAATGTTTGAGAACCACTAGACTGACCTAACCCAGCTGTGTTGTATCAGGGCATTGTTGAGGTTATAAAGAAATTCTGTGATGTTCGAAGCTGCACGAGCTCAGCAGTGTATGTGCACCTTGAATTAACAGACAGGAATCTGAGCAGGGAAAGCGCATTACATTTACAAATTTTTTTTTTATCTTTCCGTAGAGGTAAGGTGTAGTCTAAATACAGTAGAAAGGCAGGGTACAAATGTTCAGTATTTACATCAGATTTGTTATAGCTTTTTTTTAAAACTGCATTCTGTGATCAAGAGTAAGCTTGCAGGTGAGAGAAGATTACAGTGTCTTATCCTCATACCAGGGATGGACTCTAACTGGTGGGTGCTGAAGCCCGACTTCAGACTGCCTACAGAAGAAGAGATAAGAGCCATGGTGTCACCAGAGCAGTGTTGCGCTTACTATAGCATGGTAGTGGCAGAGCAGAGACTCAAGGTATCAGTAGCCCCTCTAAGTAATTTCTGATGGTTAGCACAAGTGAGTGATGTGCCATGGCTTAGCTACAGGTTATTTTTTTCCCCCCTTAGGATGCTGGATATGGTGAGAAATCCTTCTTTGCTCCAGAGGAGGAAAACGAAGAAGACTTTCAAATGAAGATTGATGATGAGGTATTGATCCAAGTGCTTCTTAATCAGTTGTTCCAGTCTTGAGATAACGAAAAACATTTCAGATTTACACCATGCTGTCTCAAACATCCTAGGTGCGGACAGCTCCTTGGAACACAACAAGAGCCTTCATTTCTGCCATGAAAGGGAAATGCCTGTTGGAGGTTACAGGTGTTGCTGATCCTACAGGATGTGGAGAGGGCTTCTCCTACGTCAAAGTGCCCAACAAGCCCACTCAACAGAAGGTCTGACCTTCTAGAGCAAAAGTTTGCCAACCCATGTTCTGCATTGTGTAAGTATAGAGGGTGACAGCTTGGATTCTGTGTGGTTTTTCAGGATGACAAGGAGCCACAGCCTGTCAAGAAGACTGTGACGGGGACAGATGCTGACCTGAGGAGGCTGTCACTAAAGAACGCCAAGCAGCTGCTGCGCAAGTTTGGTGTTCCAGAGGAAGAGGTAAGATTGTGGTGATATGCAAGCACATAAAGCTAACTCAAATGTAATAGTTAATTCTCCTGTGTTTTATGCACTATCTCTGCATTGGGATGGGATTGTTAAGTTTTTGATATTTGTTTATGATGTCATAAGCAAACCATAACCTTACCACACAGGCTTATTAATGTGACTGTGTGTTAGATCAAGAAGCTTTCACGGTGGGAGGTGATTGATGTGGTGAGAACCATGTCCACAGAGCAGGCACGTTCAGGCGAGGGACCCATGAGCAAGTTTGCCAGAGGCTCTCGTTTCTCCGTTGCTGAACATCAGGAGCGCTATAAGGAAGAGTGCCAGAGGATTTTTGACCTGCAGAACAAGTGAGATTCTTATTACCTCCACCAAGGAGGTTATGTCTTTGGTTCCGCATGTTTGTTTGTTGACATTTGTGGGGACCAACGTTAGAAGTGATTACATCTTGGTTGAAAAAGGTCAAGGACACAAAAAATAATGAAAAAAAATTACGCACACATACAGAAAAATCCCATTTTTAACATGGGGCAAAATTGTTTTAAAAAAAAATCATATCTTCATATCAGAGGTTATCTAAATCATTTTTTGTTTGAAATTTGAAGCACACGTAGGGTGGCAATGTCTATCACCAGACCAAATTTCATCTGGATCTGATCTGGACTTCAGATCTGATGGCCATTTAAAATTTACGTTGAAAACATCGTTTAATGCATATTTTCTGAAATGTTCAGAAAAGATGTATAACTGCCTATTGTTGTTCAGGATTTTTTCAGAGCACACCCAGGTTCATTGTTCTTGTTGCCCCAACACAGGGTGTTAGAATCAACAGAGGTGCTCTCCACAGACACAGACAGCAGCTCAGCAGAGGACAGTGACTTTGAGGAGATGGGGAAGAACATTGAGAATATGCTGCAGAACAAGAAGACCAGCTCCCAGCTTTCCCGTGAAAGGGAGGAGCAGGAGAGGAAGGAGCTACAGAGGATGCTGATGGGTGAGGACAGTGATCGTGACAAGGGACGCAAGGAGCGGCGCAAAGGCTTGTGTGAGTGTGTATCTTTTTTTTAGTCACAAAGTTCTTTATACACCGAAGACATTTGCATCGACTGTGCAAAGTTGAAAAATGTTGTTCATATCTCTAACTGTAAGTTTTACTTCCTTTTGCTCTATAGCCAGCTCTTTATCCACCAGCTCCCACAAGGATGACGACACGTCATCTGTCACCAGCCTGAACTCCTCAGCCACAGGACGGCGACTCAAAATCTATCGGACATTCAGGGATGAGGATGGCAAAGAATATGTCCGCTGTGAGACAGTACGCAAGGCTGCGGTCATTGACGCTTACACCAGGATCAGAACCACCAAGGATGATGAATTCATGTGAGCCTCTTTCTAATCTGAGCTTCCTCATCTTGCAGTGGGTGTTTGTGTGTAGTGGCTGTTTCATAGCCTCCGCTCCATATCAAGTTAAGATCATCATGTGTATATTGTGTGGTGCTGTAGTGGTGTTATAGTTCTAAAAATCATTTAGTGCAAACCAAGTCTGCTCCTTACTGAGCTGTGTGGAATGAATCAAAAGGAAACAATGATACATAGGTTCACCTTTTGGCTACAACTTTAAGCAAAACTTCAATTGTGTATGTAAATTAGTTTTGATAATCTGCACCTAACATATTTGGAAACACATGTTTGTTGTTATGCTTTTAGCTCTTAAATTTGTGCTTCCCTATGTATGAAATATGTTTCTACTTTAGCTTGTTAATGGTGTAGCAGGTCAGCCTAATGCTGAATTCTGTAGTGGAGAATGACACAGCCACTTAATTAAGTCGGTGTCATCGCCACAACAGATGTTCAACATTCAGTGTTGTGTATTTATGACTGCAGACGGAAGTTTGCTCTCTTTGATGAGCAGCACAGAGAAGAGATGAGGAAGGAGCGTCGACGCATTCAGGAGCAGCTGAGGAGGCTGAAGAGAAACCAGGAGAAGGACAAGATCAAGGGACCACCAGAGAAGAAGGCCAAGAAGGTCAAAGAGAGACCAGACCTCAAGGTAAAAGTAAGCTTGCTGATTCAGTACTATACTCCTGTCTTTCACTTTTTTCTTCACCAGTCTTTTGATACTAAGCTAAATGTAAACCTTATGCCAGTTTGCTTTATGCTGGTTTAGTTAATATGCCAATTTGTGGTATTGTTCTTTTAGTATTATATAGAACACGTAGACTTTGGCGTGTTCCTTAACGTTTGCCTCTTTTCCCTAGCTAAAGTGCGGAGCATGTGGAGCCATTGGCCATATGCGGACCAACAAGTTCTGCCCGCTATACTATCAGACCAACGCCCCACCTTCTAACCCAGTTGCTATGACCGAAGAGCAGGAGGAGGAGCTGGAAAAGACGGTCATACACAACGACAATGAGGAACTGATCAAGGTGGAAGGCACTAAGATTGTGTTGGGCAAACAGCTCATTGAGAGGTAACAGATATTTCCTCATTCTTCCTCTCAACATTGAAAGGTGCAGTGTTTTCTAAACTTGAGTCCATGGATAGCAGGAGTCCCTCATATGCAGTATCTGAGGGATTCTCAGGCAGTTTGGATCAAAAGTATCCCTTGCAGTTTGTAACTAATTGTTTCTCCTACAGTGCTGATGAGGTACGCAGGAAGTCTTTAGTGCTCAAGTTCCCTAAGCAACAGCTCCCACCAAAGAAGAAGAGGCGTGTAGGCAGCGCGGTGCACTGTGACTATCTTAATGTAGGCAACATTTTAAAACTTTTTTTAAACACTTGTTGAACTCAAAGGAGTCCTCTTAGCTAATGATTTGTACTGTTTTGTTCACAGAAACCACACAAGGCCATTCACCGTAGGCGCACTGACCCAATGGTGACCTTGTCTTCTGTCCTGGAGAGCATCATCAATGACATGCGGGATCACCCCAGTGTAAGATCAATCAGGAATGCGCTTGGCCACTCCAACCTTTCATTGTTTCCAAAGACTACCTTCACTTCTTTACTGTCTCACCATTACTACCTTCATATCTTCTATGCAGACATACCCATTTCACACACCAGTCAATGCCAAGGTTGTCAAGGACTACTATAAGATCATCACCAAGCCCATGGACCTGCAGACACTGAGGGAGAATGTACGTAAACGAATGTACCCTTCAAGGGAGGAGTTCCGTGAAGCTGTGGAGCTTATTGTCAAAAACAGCGCCACCTACAATGGTAAAGTTCTAAGAACATTTTTAACAGCCTCTTAGACTCATAAAGTGACCAAAGTCTTATTCTGGGTTAAGTAAAACTTGTAGTTTTACTTTACATTAGTATGTTAAGACGGCTCTTTGTTTTTGTTCCAACAGGGGCAAAACACCCAATAACGCAGGTAGCACAGTCCATGTTGGACCTGTGTGATACTAAACTGAAAGAGGTGAGTGTAAATGTAAAGTCCTTTTTGTGTGTGTGTGTGTGTGTGTGTGTGTGTGTGTGTGTGTCCTACCATGTAAATCACTGAGTTTTAAAGTGACAGCTTGGTTTTGGTTAGGGGAAGAGTTGGGGATAGTGGTGATTATAGTTAAGGTTAGTCAATGTAATGTCCCCATGAGAAATAAAAACAAGTGTTTGTGTGTGTATGTGTGCAGAAGGAGGACAGGCTGGTCAGGCTGGAGAAAGCCATCAACCCGCTGCTGGATGATGATGATCAGGTGGCCTTCTCCTTCATCCTGGACAACATTGTGACCCAGAAAATGATGGTGGTTCCTGATGTGCGTCGTCTCTTGTTGTTTACCACAGTCATTACTGTATTTAACTATTTATGTATTTTTTTGTGCAGGTTTGATATTTTAATAATTAACAGATAACACAAGTAAGAGTAATGAACTTTCTCAATATTTCTCTTTCTATAGTCGTGGCCCTTCCATCATCCTGTCAACAAAAAGTTTGTGCCTGATTATTATAAGGTGATTGTAAACCCCATGGATCTGGAGACCATCCGCAAGGTGAGGGTCATACAAGGGTCAACCTTAAATCAAACAATATCCAGTACAAAGGCATTTAACAGCAAATGTTCCTCTTTGTCTGTTTGTATTTTATGGTTCAACAGAACATCTCAAAACACAAGTACCAGAACCGAGACACGTTCCTTTCGGATGTTAGTCTCATCCACACCAACAGTATCAAGTACAATGGTAAATGTGGTAACATCAGTGTTGACCTCTGCACTCATGTGTCTTAAAAACAGATATCTGTAGTTTAGAAAAATTTGGTTGCTACAATTACTTTTTGGGTTTTGCAGGGCCAGACAGTCCATATACCAAAACAGCCCTGGAGATTGTCAATGTGTGCAAGCAGACCTTGGCAGAGGTAGGTTGAGTCTGATTCTTAGTTTGCTCTCTGGAGGCCAAGGGGAAGTGAGTATTTCTGCAGTAAATTAGATTGTGTTGGGCAAAGTGCAAATTTGTTATAAATCTTTTCTGCTCAACCTATTATTATAGAAAATATACGTGCCAAAGTATAGTGTTCATTTACACAACAGAGGGTTGTAAAAGAAAAAGAATGATGGGTCTTTTATTAATTGCTGCCACAAATTAGCAAATTAATGTGGAAGTATTACAGAAATATATTGCTAATGGTTGAATAGATTTGTCCTTTTTCAATATTTTACTTTCACATCTTGTAATGTGTGGGGGATTTGTTGAATGTTTCCCTGTAATAAGGGGTAATACTTCAGAGTATTGAAACACAAATATTTACTTAAGTTTATCTCTTTAGAAATTTGGAAAATTACTACAACCAAATGTATAACACTAGTACTTTTACTAGCTAGAAAAACGTTAATCTGTGTCGTAAATATTGATTCTTTTTGTGTTTCCAGTACGATGAGCACTTGACCCAGCTGGAGAAGGACATCTCGACTGCTAAAGAGGCAGCTCTCGATGCAGCAGACATGGAGAGTCTCGACTCAATGACTCCTGGCCCGTACACACCACAGGTAGGACTGCAGCCAGGGCCCAGTTTTATTTACTAGCTTGGCTAATGGTGGTTCTCTGGGTATCTTGCCAGATGTTAGGCCCCCAGCTATTTATAACATGCCACACGAGGTAATCTAAACTTTCCTATGTGCACTGGAGTCCTGGCCACACCTTGTAGTGCTCCTCCTGCCCTTGTATTTCTTTCTTTCAAGACTTTCATCTCTGCGGTCTAGTTTCTGTACTGTAGTGTCTCCTCTCTCCCAACCTGTATTTTTCCCTTCGTTCCTGCCATCTTGTCCTGTCTCTCTGTTTGTGTGTGTGGCTCTGTGTGGTCTTGGCCAGCCTGCTGATCTGTTTGACAGTGGGGCTTCAGGGAGTCTGCCCAGAGAGCCCAGCAGCCTTTTCTCTGAGGGACCTCTAGTGATTGCTCCAGAGAAGAGAGGGGGGCAGGTATGGAGAGAGACAGAAATAAGGCTTGCATCTACATGCCACCTCTCTTCAGACTATCATCAGGGCACCCAGCTGGTTTACAGGCTTTGATGTACCTGCTCATGTAAAAGTTGTTTCTTGCACAAGAACAGCAGAGAAAACATTGCAGTGTAAATGAGAGTAGTTATTTTGCCTTTGTCTTTCGGTAAGGGTTTTCTCAAACTTTAATGATCCTGCCCCTCAGGGACGCCACATCAGAAGACCTGGGGAGGAAGAGTCAGATGTGGACATTGAAGGCTTTGAAGAGGAAGATGATGGAAAACCCAAGACTCCCGCTCCTGTAAGAAAGACAGATTTATTGGAAAGTCGTAGTTCTTATGACGTTCATGTATATATGAATTACTGCCTTGCCTTCACCAACCAGTCAAATTCATGGGAATGGCACAGATGTGAGCATACAGTGACCTTACCTGTGTTTCTAGGCAGAGGATGCAGAAGGAGATCTGGAGGACGAAGATGATGAAGACGAGATGTTGCTGCCACCTCGCAGACGGGTGCATGACCAAGAGGAAGAGGAGGAGGAGGAGGAAGAGGACGGAAGATCTAACCGGCCAGCCCAGGCCAGCGTGCTGTACCAGGACCTGCTCATGTCTGACGGAGAGGATGATGCCAGCGAAGAGGAGGGTGACAACCCTTTCTCCTGTAAGTCCACCATGAAGGGAAATTGATTCTTTGCATAAGGTAATTAGCACTATCTGTGTTTTAGGTATTTGGGAATGACAGATAAAAAATTTAGATATTAGTTGACTGTAAACAAACGCTGATCATGAATTTGTCCTCTGTGAAGACCATGTACAGCACTTTGTATTTGACATTTGTCCTGATGCGTAGTGTTTCCATTCCAGCCATTCATCTGTCGGAGAGTGGCAGCGACTCTGACAGAGAGGTGGATGTGCGGCCTCCACCTCCACGTAGAACTCAAGAGACAGCCCGCATGGGTATGGAACAGGACGAGAGCATGATGTCATATGAAGGGGACGGACCCAATGAGCCTCACATGGACGATAGCAACGTCAGGTACAACAGGCCCAATGCTGATGATTTAAGTCTCTGAATTGTCAGAAATTTACAATCAAGCATCCTAAACCAACTGATCTTTTTTGTAGGAGAAAATAAGCATTTACATTTCTTTTTAATCTTTTAAAAATGTTGTCTAATCAAATTCTTAAGTTGTTGGTACCACAGGCATCACTGTACTTGATGATGATGATGCGTGTTGTTAACACCTCTTTCAACTTCCTTTCTCTTCTCTCTCAGCTATGGGAGCTACGAGGAGACCGAGAGCAGGAGTCAGATGCAGGTCTCTAGCATAGGAAATGGAGAAGAATATGGCATCAGTGAGGAGGAGGAGGAAGACGAAGAAGATGAAGCGCGGAGAAGAGGCCCAGCCGTGCTCTCTCAAGTGCAGCTCAGTGAGGATGAGGAGAGCGAAGAGTTCAGATCTATTGGGGCAGACAGTGACATGGACTCTGACATCTAGTTAAGTCTAGTCAAGAAAATGTAGTTTTTAATTCCAGATCTAAAACTGAGACATTGAGTTTTCTCAGGTAAATATTCTGTACATAGTTTTGTACATTATGGTTAATGTTTATAGTTTAGTGTGCTGCTGTACTGAATACAGCTCAGCACATGGTCAGATTCAGTTTGAATGAATATTGTGTTCATGCTGTACCTTGAATGGAAACATGTTTACTTGTTTTCTACTCTTTTAACCTGTTCATAACCTGTGCTCCCAAATGTTTCAGGAACTAAATACAAAGCAGAGTGAAAACACTGAAGATTAACAAGCAGATCTTTAAAAGTTAAATCACATATTGCATATATTGACCTTGGAGAATGGTTGAAAATCATGGCAGATATTTTGACGTTATTATCAGAAAAGCACAGGTGTCACTCGTTTTTTTTTTTATCAAGTTTCTCAGAGGGCAAAGTTGTGTAAAATTTGTATTTTTTAATTGACATTTGTGAAAGTAAACTCTGTCATGTGCTTATATTTTATTTATTCATATAATCTAAAACCCAAATGTTACATTTACAAAGATACAAAACAGAAAAGTAGCATATCCTCACATTTGAGAAGCTGAAATCAGTAACTGAATAGCATTGTTGCTTGATAATTTACAAATGATTAATCTATTTGAAAATGCCGTTTTCAACCCATTTCAGCCCTAATATGGCCTCAGTGGGACACAGGATGGAACTGAGCCATGTGCTTATTGTTTGATCACTAATTGTATTAATTTTTTTCTAAGTGAAAGATACAGTTGATATTAATAATCAGCATGAAGAGTAACAGGTTTATAGCTGTTTTCCTCAGCTTCAGTCAGCAGATGAATTCATAAACAGCGTTTACTAAAACCTGTTCTTAAACACGGTGAACAGCAGAGGGTCTTCCAGCACAAAACACTAGATGTGTCCAAAATTGGACTGACAGCATTTGATATACAGGTGCATCTCAATAAATTGGAATATTGTGGAAAAGTCCATTTATTTCAGTAATTCAACTCAAATAGTGAAACTCGTGTATTATATAAATTCAGTACACATAGACTGAAGTAGTTTAAGCCGTTGGGTCTTGTAATTGTGATGATTTTGGCCCACATTTAACAAAAACCCACCAAATCACTGTCTCAATAAATTAGAATACCTCCTAAGACCTATAAAAAAACATTTTTAGTGAATTGCTGGCCTTCCCCCATATTGACAGAAAAACACAGAATTTTTGACATTTCTGCAGATTTATTAAAAAAGAAAAACTGAAATATCACATGGTCATGATATGAACTTAAAATGAACTTAAATGATTTTAGCACATATGGCTGCAATATAACAAAGTGAAAAATTTAAGGGGGTCTGAATACTTTCCGTACCCACTGTATGTACTCAGTACTTGGTAGGGGCTCCTTTTGCTTTAATTACTGCCTCAATTTGGCGTGGCATGGAGGTGATTAGTCTGTGGCACTGCTGAGGTGTATGGAAGCCCAGGTTTCTTTGACAGTGGTCTTCAGCTTATCTGCATATTTTGGTCTCTCATTTCTCATTTTCCTCTTGACAATACCCCATAGATTCTCTATGGGGTGAGTTTGCTGGCCAGTCAAGTACACCAACACCATTTAACCAAGTTTTGGTGTTTTTGGCAGTGTGGGCAGGTGCCAAATCCTGCTGGAAAATTAAATCAGCATTTTTAAAAAGCTGGTCAGTAGAAGGAAGCATGAAGTGTTTTAAAATGTCTTGGTAAACGGGTGCAGTGACTTTGGTTTTCAAAAAACACAGTGGACCAACACCAGCAGATGACATTGCACCCCAA